GTCTATAGAACAGTCTATAGAACAGTCTATAGAACAGACTAGAACAGACTTTAGAACAGTCTATAGAACAGACTATAGAAACAGGCTGCAGAACAGTTGATGAGTTCAACGATTTAACTTATTTTAAATCATAAGTGACTTATTTAAAGCTGAAAATTTCATGTCTGTCTGATCTGAACAGGAAGACCACACCCCGTTATGACACCCTATTATTCAGCTTCACAGACAGAAGAAACTGTTCCGTCCCACGGTCTGATCACCGGAGACAAAATAAAAACTGTAGGTCCTCCTCTGGACCTACATCAGCGGTCAGACCTCCGACCACCTGACAGTTTCACGTCACTGCGATCTTTTGAAGTCTGCGCCCCTCACTTTCGGACTCGCTCACCACGTGGTATTTGATGACCTGTACTATTTTAGCAGGGCATGCGGAGAATGTGTGTTTCAAATATACATCACACCCACAACGTCCTTCAGTCCCCACCGCGGATTGTTCACTCACTGTAATCCGAGCAGCCGCGCTGGCCAAAACCAATCAGAACAAGTTGGAAAGCATCCAGAAATGAACCCAGAAATGGCAACCGAGTCTGTAGTTTCATTTAATCATAATACCGTCTTTGTTAGACCGGTAGATATTCCATCACGAGAGATGTGTCTCAAACTACTCATGTCGCCAAGTACAACAGAGGAAGCACCAGTACCACCAGTGGTACGCATACCATAGTTTGAGAACCAATGTTCTAAAGGAAGTCCGCACGACTCGTAGCAGAAAGGAAAACAAAGAACCCCAGCTGATGTTTACAGGAACGGGATTTTTTTTTCTGTCAGACTATAATGAATGAGAAGAATTAGGTTGTGTATACTGTAGTTTGAGACCGTTGACGCTGGGACGATCCATAAATTGATCCTCACAGCAGTGAACGTACGTGCTGATAATGATGAAGTGTAATAAACATGAACTCACTGACTTTATAGGAATTTAGAGGAACTGCTGTGATGCAATGAAAACTCCGTAGATTCAACTGGAAACAACAGGGTGAATTAATCAGACCTGTCACTAAAGAAGGGGTTACAGACATAACAGACCATTAAATCATCAAATAAGTATCTACTTTGACATTTAAGTCATAGCAATACACTGAAATAATCCATCCATCCATCCATTTTCATCCAAATATCCGTTAACAGGTCGCGGGGACGGCAGTCTCCATGACCGCCACCCAAATCACACTGCACCGTACCAACCGCCCTAACCGGGATTTGATCTTGCCCAGGAGGTGAACCCTGGGGTTCTACCCCAATGACAGAGACATTGCCTCTGGGGCCAAAGCGCCACCACAGAAATAGCAAAAAATAATATTTAATTTCATGATATTGTACTGATATTAATAAAGTCCTGTATCGACTTTTTATTAACAATTAAGAGTCAAATATTCATGGCGTTGGCTCATTTTATTTTGCTCTTCTTTCTACAAATGTATATCCCTCTGTTCCAATTGTAGTAACCTGATGTTGAGCATGTGAAAGCGTTGTGCGTTTACTATGCTGACAGTTCTTCTACAATTCGCAAAATATTCCCCCTGTATTGTGATACATATCGAATCGCCAGATTCTTGCCAATACATTCATTCACTATCATAACAACTGACTGAAATGATTTAGAAGAGTTAGTGAATTTGTAGAAGAAAAGAAAAAAAAGTTCCAGGTGGCTGCTACTTTCCTGCTGGCCAGATTGGGTACTAGAAAAGAGTTATTAGTGAATTTGTAGAAAATTCTACTTTCCTGCTGGCCAGATTGGGTACTACAAGCAAAACACAATTTTCCTGTGGAGGTGGAGAAGACCACCAAGAGTTGTTTACAAACACTACGTTTATACGACTGTAACGTTATTTCAATGATTTCCACTGCACGGGCAGGCTGACCTACCAGGTTACTGTTGGTGTTGTTGCTGTCCTCCTCTGGCATGGGCAAATACACAGCCAGGGCCACACAGTTGGCGAAGATGGCCAGAAGGATTATGATCTCAAAGGGTCTTACAGTGATGAATAGGAAAGGCTATATTTCCACACACGTACAGCTCACGCTACAACACCAGCCAACTCTTACTCTGACACGCGACGACGTTTAGCTTTTGTCTGCATTAGCTGTAGCTCCTCCAAAAACTCTAAGTAACAAGTATTTCTAACACACCCCACCCGAACCACAATGAAGGATACTTCCACTCCACGATACTGATGCACGCCTTGCGGAAAGGATTCTTCAGCGTGAGGAAGAGGAGAGAGCGAGCTGGTCGCGGGTTTCCTCCCGTGGCCATCAGTTTCTTCAATTTCTCCTTCTGTTTTCTCTTCAGAGTTTCCTCGTCCATGATGTAGGAGGACAGCGGGGGGCTGCTGGCGTCCGCCATGGTTTCTCCTATGTGCTAGCTGTGTCAGTTTTTACTCACAGTAGTATGTAAGACGTACTCCAGAAACGTGCGGACTGTCTCCTGTGTGAACCCGTTCAGTTCTCAGACCTCATCCTGGTCACTGGTGACCCCTCCAGTCTTGACCCAACCATCTCTGTGACATGGTTTCTCAGTGTGACTGAGGTTCCTCTGTCCTGTATTTCAAACAGCAGCTGTCTGCACCACTAGTAAGGGATTGGCTTTCAGAACAGCTGCTTTGTCAAGAATATATATATATAGACAATGAGCTTGGCTGTCAAGGCATGGTGTGACAGTGGAGATGGAGGGACATCAGAAGGTGGGACAGGACACAACCCCTGTGTGTGTGACTGTAATAAAAGCGGAACATCACTCAGGGATCTGTGGAAGAAAAAAAATGAAATCAAAAGGAATTTAAATCATCAACAACACGTTGGTTAAGTTAAAACACTATAAATTAGGGATTTCATAAAATACTGATATACTGATATATATATATATATATATATATATATAGTTTCATGATACTGTATCAATATAACACAGCATTGTATCCATTTTTTAATTAACGACTAACGTGCAAATATTCATGGCGTCGGTTCATTTTATTTCGGTTCATGTGTGTTCACTATGTTGACATAGTACTGCCCCGAAACAGCGGTTTCACAGTCTTTTATTACAGTTAAACTGTTTAAAAACAAACTCAATGTACCGTTAAGCCTACGGTATCGCAGCATATTGCAAAATATCGCATCGTTGCCCATGTACTGTGATACGTACCGCCAGATTCTTGCCAATACACACCGCCTAGTGACATAAAACTGCGGGTAAATGGTGCCGTGTTGTCCACTGTAACACACACAACCCTAGTAAAAAAGAAAATGTAGGTCAAAAACAAACATACTCTCTGCAAACTAATCTTTCGCCGTGAACTAATCGTTCACTCTGAACAAATCACTTCCTGTGAACTAGTCTTTCGCCGTGAACTAATCTTTCGCTGTGAACTAATCTTTCGCTTCGTTCTCGCAGATTCGTTTCATTTGTCACGTGACAGAGAGGTCGGGTCTCTTTTGTTCTCATTTATTTTTTACATTGTGGTGTGTTTTTATTTATGTTTTCATATGGTTTAATTGCTTATGGTATTTTGTGTACTTTGTAGAGTCAAAGAATCAGTAAAAAGAGCCGGTCTTCCCATCACTAGTTACTGGCTGGAGCACACCTTTTAAGAAGGTAGCGGATGTAGGTAAGACATGACCGGTAATTCTTCAAAATAAAACATAATTCAGAATCAAATAATAAATAAACGGAAATATTGACCGGTAATTTTTCAAAATAAAACATAATTAAGAATCAAATAATAAATAAACGGAAATAATGTAAGTTATGCTATAAAATTAACAACTACTTGTCTCGTCCAATCCTAATGGGAGTCAGATTACAACACAAACCACTAGGGAAGCTCATAACATTTTAATTTGCATTAATAATGCAATAATAATCATGCAGTAACTGAAGCTTTTTTTAAACATAAGACATATGCTGCCATCTGCTGGTTGTGCAGGCTATTCGCACTTGGCGTCTATCTTTTTCCCTTGGACATTCCATGGACGTCATATAAAAGCCAGTCTGTAAACAACGGGTTTTAGAAAAGACTTGAACACATGTGAGAAGACCACATTCTGTTTGTTATTATTTTACTTTGTACTATTCACGGCTGTATTAAACAATTGTTTATGTATACTTTTTAAATAACAGACTCTGTAATATTTTGAGTCTTTCACTATAACAAAGACCTCTTCCAGGAACATAAATTTCACCTCCTTGTTATAGTATAGAGAAACTGACACTGGAGCGAAAATTAACGCCGCCCTGCCCCCTAGTGGACAAACTGCTTAATAACCATGTCGAACGTAGGGCAAAGGTGGGACTATACAATGTGTGGACAGTGACGGATGAGGGTGGCATTATTTTTTGACATAGCTGGAGAGAGTAATAAGAGAATAAGACTGTAGGGGGCACTAGCGGTAGTTACTTATTGTTCTTTTATAAATTCATGCCCCAGGAATGAATGGTGTCATTTATGTTCGTCGACAACCTCTGTTGTCACCTTGAGTCATACAGATATCTGCAATAAAGGGAGCTCAGACCTGATTGAACACACACACACACACACACAAACACACGACATTGTTGGGACCGAAGAGTCCGTCCAGACCTGGACCCTCAGCTCCAGCCTCTTTAAATAGAGCTGCTGTCTGTGGCCTGCAGCTGTCTGTGTGTGTCTACCCCAGGTTGACCTCTGAGCCTTTAAAGGCCACGGCAGATATTTTTAGACCAAAGCTGCTGATGTGGAGATTTTACACTGGCTCTCGCACAGGACCCTTCGACATCACTCACTGGACGGATTCGATCCAAATAATAATTTGACTTCATCTTCATTTTACCGAGTGAACACAATTACAGAGAGATTCATGACTCTCTTCATATTAGTCTGCTCTGTGAACCCAACACAGAGGTAGCTCCATGCTCTTTCTTTCTGTAACCCCCCCCCCCCAACACCACCACCACCTCGACTTCAACAGACCACTCCCCTCCCGCCGCCCCTTTACTCACCCTCAATCCCTGCCTGTCTTCTGTCCGGTGGTTTTTCCTCAGGTCTTTTGTCCTCACCCTCTGTCCTCATCTCCTGTCCACCCCACTGCGTCTTTGGATTTTTTTTTTTTTTTATTCCCACGTCGTTTGTACGATGGCTGACAAAGGTCGAGCTGTGGCCAGAAGAAAAGACAGGAAAGAGCCGGACGCGGCCGACAGGGCAAAATCTGGAAAAGAAGAAGAGAACATTCCGGAGAAGACGGAGAACAATGAAGGTGCTCCAGCAGCTGAGGAACCTGCCGGTGGTGCGGTGGCCAATGGTCAGAATGGAGAGTTCAAGGTGGAACCAATGGAACTACCTCCATTTGAGATCATCCAGGGGTAGGTGCACTTTAAACCGGTGTAGTTCGTGTCACTGACCGTCTTGGGTCCGAGCGATCAACAACTCAAGTTCAGTGTGTTGTTGACGGTTAAGTCTTAACAAGTGATGTGGTTTTATCACTGTTATTAAACAGATGAGACACCAAAGGCAGCAGAAACCTGTCCATTAATGAGCTGCTGTCGAGAATTGCACCGGCGTTACTGGAGTAAACAACAACAACAACAACAACAACAAGGGATAAATACTCCCTTGCTTCTAAATCACATACTGAACTGTGTCTATTTATCCGCTGCTGATGCCATTACAGAGTCTCGACAGCAGCTGACATGACCATCGAGGTTACTGGTGACAGTCAGGGGGAAGACGAGGGGGGGGAGGCGGTGCTGGTGGGGGTCTCATTTCACAGAGTTCGAATGTAACTACTCTCCTTAACACCCCTGCCAAGCCTCACTCATTTGACACTCTGGACTTGTCCAGTTGCTTTAAACAGTCTGTGCAGGAAGTTTCCTGCAGAATTTCCAAAAATAAATTTGATATTTTAGAATGAAAAAAAATAAATAAATAATGCAACTCATTGAGGAAGTGCTCTTCACTACTGCTCTACAACAAGGAGGTTTCTGCACCGGCTTAAAACACCTGACTTCCTGTGGGCTATATGCATGACCCCTACTCTCTCTCCCTGCTTTTTTTAATTTTTTTTACTAACTATGGAATAGAATTTCTCTGCACATCAGCCCGACATGTTTTTTGACAATATATTTTTTACGATTCTCAAATTTTCGATAGTACCTGAATGTGCCTCGCATTTTACTACGGTATCTGAACACTCCTCGTTACAGACACGGCCCCCTAATTATATATTAGGGGGCCGGCCAAAAGTTTTAGAACACCCTAATTTTTCCAGTTATTTATTGCAATTCAAGTCATGCAAGTCCGATGATTTGCTTAAAATGGTACAAAGGTAAGTACTGAACAGCGACATGTTTTTTGACAATATATTTTTTACGATTCTCAAATTTTCGATAGTACCTGAATGTGCCTCGCATTTTACTACGGTATCTGAACACTCCTCGTTACAGACCCGGCCCCCTAATTATATATAAGGGGGCCGGCCAAAAGTTTTAGAACACCCTAATTTTTCCAGTTATTTATTGCAATTCAAGTCATGCAAATCCGATGATTTGCTTAAAATGGTACAAAGGAAAGTACTGAACAGCCAGAGGTTTGGTAAAAAAAAAGGTTTGCTTCCCCAAAACTGAAAAATAATGTACATTTCAGAATCATACAAAAAGGCCATTTTCAGGGAACACGAAGTGGGTTAAGAATTTAAAGCTGTTCTGCAGCAATGAAGGTTGAATTATAATTCCAACTTTTCTGGATTATTTACAACCCCCTCTGTCTGCATAAAAGCAGTGTTGGAACACACTGTGGTACCAGGCCCTCATGAGCACTGAACTGTATTGTACTGCAGAAAGTAATGTGTTGCTACAAAAATGGCGACAAAAAGGCAATTAACAATGGAAGAGAGACGGACCATCATAACAATGTAGGTGTTACTTTCCAACAGGGAAATTGCAAAGAAAGCCAAGGTGTCAGTGAGTACAGTTTCCTTCAGCATCAAAAGGCAAACTCTGACAGGAAGCGGTCTGGCAGACCCAAAGCCACAACTGAAACGGACGACATGATTCTGAGGACGAGTTGCAGCAAGAAAGCCATCGCTAAGATGTCAGAATAAGACAAAGAGGCTCTCCTGGGCCACGAAACACCGCCATTGGACAACTGAAGACTGGAAGAAGGTGTTAAGGACTGATAAATCAAAATTTTAATATATATATATATATATATATATATATATATATATATATATGAAGGGGTGTTGGGGTGGGAAGCTGGTGAAGCTTTTGTGATGTACGTAGCTAACTGCACCGTTTTGCGCTGTTCCGTTTGTATTTACTTCGGCTACCAAACCACCTCAGTGAGTGTTGAGTGTCAGGTCGATGCTTTAGGTCAGTGTTTCCCAACATTTTTTTAAGCCACGACACATCACCAAACAAAAAATCTCACGTAATGAAATGTAATAATATTGTCGTTTAAATGTACTAAAAATCTACTCCTGTTTAGTGGAAGACAACGCTCACATAGTGGCAGGAATTGAAGAAAGACTCAACTTCAACAGAGATCTTCTTCAACAGCTCTGATGATCTTTTCTCAGTTTTAATAACCATCTGCTGCCACCTAGTGGAAGAGGATTTAATTGCTCTGCCTGACACGCATTGATGAACAAAGAAAAAAAAATTCAACGGTTTTATTGATTATCGCCCTAGGCCTACTGTCCAAGAGACTCGGAATAACAAAATTAAAAAAAGAACTCCATAATATACAAGTGCAGAACACTGCCACCTGCTGGTTAAACGTGGACATGTCCCATTTAATTTTATCTTTGGTCTTCTCTACAGGGACAGAATCGATGCGTTCGCATTTAAGTTCCAGTTCAAGAACGTGGAATACTCCTCCGGACGTAACAAGACCTTCCTGTGTTACCTAGTGGACAAAGGCAAAGCCAGTGATGGACTTCTGAGAGGTTATCTGGAGGACGAACACAGTGGTGCTCACGCTGAAGAGGCCTTCTTCATCCAGTGCCTGCCTGACTACGACCCTGCTCTCAAATACACAATAACCTGGTACAGTACCTCTGACAGTCCGACAATCAACCGTAATAATGAATTAATGCCGAAGAAAAATTGACCTTTTCGCGAAACCCCGCCTCCAATCGGTCACCAGAGGTGTGGACTCGAGTCTCATGACTTGGACTCGAGTCAGACTCG